CGCGGGGACGGGCTGGTCGACCGTGGTGTGACAGACGAGGCTCGCGATACCGCGGCGGTGACTTCAACAATGGCGGCGGTGGTGGCGGTGGTGACATCGGCGACTGCGGCGGCAACTGCAGCAGCATAGTGTTCCTGTAGCAGCGGGTGTCGAAGAGAGTGCACGGGCTGGCTCTCGGGGTCGTCGGGATGCGTGCGCGGCATTGTGTGTGTGGCCTCATCGCGCGGCCTACTGCTCGGTTGGCAACAGCGGAGGCACCACTGGGCCGTGGGTGAGTCCAGGGCGCGCGCACAGATGCGGGCTCCTACGTGTCCGACGGCTCCTTGAGCGAGAAGTTTGGCGCCGACCAGGAGAAGACCGCAAACCACTCCGCCTGTGGCAATAGCTCCGAGTTTGCCGCTGGCCCATTTCAGGGCACCCCCGAGGCCAGACCCGACTGCGCTGGCTCCGCCCGAGACGATGTCTCTGAGTTTGGCACTGGTCCACTTGAGGATACCCCACAAGGCGGGCGCGGCGTCGTATGCCGTTGTGCGTCGGGGCGTAGTGGACACGGATGGGCCTGGTGCCGCAGCTTCACGTCGTCGTCGCTGCCGGTAGCTGGGGTCTCGGCTCGGTGTTGGCAAGTACCCGTCGATCTGGTCCTTGTACGGCATGGCTACCACGATGGCATACGTGGCCACGAAGAGGCAGATGAGACAGCCGCAGCGTCGGGAGGCCGCTGCGCTGTGCGGGGCCTCGTATGAGCCGCTGGCGTCAGGGCTCGCGTCCTCGATGAGGTCATTGTCGATGCCAGCCTGCCAGTGGTCGACGGCGCTGGAGTTGGAGTCAGTCGCGTTAGCTCGGCAGACACGGGTTCGGGGCGGGGTCCTGCCACCTGAGGTCTGAAGCCCAGATCCAGCCAATGCTGCAGCGGGGCTGAAGCCGCCACTGCGCAGGCTGGTGAGAGCTGGCTGTGCAGTGGAATGGCTTGTCTCGTCGGCGGCGGTGGCGCCTTCGGCGTCGCTGAGCTGTGCGCTGGGGTCAGCCTGGGCCGAGTTGATGGGCGCACTGCTGTGCGACAGGGGGCGCCCTGTGTAGGGTTCGCTGTCACGGTCGCGCTGGGCCGTGTCACCTGGCTGCGTCGTGCCGTCAAGGTCCTGGGTTTCCGTGTCGTGGATGGAGTCGTTCTGGCTATCGTCCGACACGTGAAACGAGTCCAGGGATATGTTGCTGATATCGCTGGCAGCGGTGTGCTGGAGCAGAAGCGGTTCGGCGTCGGCCGCGGGCTGGTCACACGTGGCGTTCTGGGCGAGGGGGCCAGCTGGCGGTGGTAGGTTTAGTGGTTCCATCGGTGCCGCGGCGAGCTCCGCCTCGACAAGCAGCTGCAGGTCTGGCGGGTGGTGCAGGATCGCATCCGCGAGATACGCCAGGGCGTCTTGGCCGGGCGGAGGGAGGCCTCTTGGCAGCAAGGCGTGGGCCCGTGAGAGGTATGGCGGCAGTGGTGCCGCGAAAGCCTCAGGGCCGACGAGCTGGGCACGAGCGCACTGGTATTCCAGAAGGAGGCCAAAGTAGCGGGTGGGGTACTCGTGGCTGCCCTGGA